TATTATTACTACTACTACTACTACTACTACTTCTTCCACTACTACCACGACTACTGATACTACTACTACTACTACTATTATTACTACTACTACTACTACTACTACTTCTACTACTACTACTACTACTACTACTACTACTACTACTACTGTTACTGCTTCTACTACTACTACTATCGCCACGACTACTACTACGACGACGACTACTACTACTACTACTACTACTACTTCTATTGCTACTACTACTACGACCTGCTACGACCTACTACTACGATTACTACGACTACTACGACTACTTCTACTACTACTACTACTACTACTATTCTGCTGCTGCTACTACTACTGCTACTACTACTAATCATACAACTACTACTACTGCCACTACTACTACTACCACTGTTACTACTACTACTACTACTACTACTACTACTACTACTACCACTACTACTACTACCACTGCTACTGCGACTGCCATTGCTACTACTACTACTACTACTACTACTACTACTACTACTACTACTACTACTACTACTACGACTATTACTGTTACTACTATTGCTACTACTAACGGCCTCTACTACTACTACTACTACTACTACTACTACTACTACTACTACTACTGATACTACTACTACTATTACTACTACTACTACTACTACTACTACTACTACTACTACTACTACTACTACTACTACGACTACTACTACTACTACTACTACTACTACGACTACTACCAATAATAGCACGACTACTACTCCCACTGCAGTTGCTACTACTTCTACTAATACTACGATCACACTTTGAATACGCGCACTCCGATGATTCAAGTCACTCAATTCGTAGAGTCGCCATGATTTTTAGTACGACGATTGTTATTAGTACTACCACGATTGTTTCGATTACTACTACTACTACGACTACTACTACTTATAGTGGTATGCATTCTCCTATTACTATTATTAATACTGCTGCTACGGAAACGACGGCTACATCTAGTTGTGTTGGTCGTTGTGTTGTTGGGTGTGTTGCGGGTTGTGTTGGTGGTTGTGGTGGTGGTGGTTGTGTTGGTTGTGTTGGTGGTTGTGCTTGTGGATGTGGCAGTCGGTGTGCTGATGGTTGTGTGTGGTTGTTTTTGTGGTTGTCTTAGTGTTTGCGTTGGTGAGTGGATTGGTGTGTGTGTGCCCCTCCCGCTACCTTCCTGGTTCCACATTTCAGTTGCCGTTTGAGTTTACAGCAACTTTTCGGTGGCCATTCGAATTTACAACCACATTTCGGCGGAAACTTGAATTGACAATCACTTTTCGGCGGCCACTTGATTTCACAACCACCTTTCGGCGAAAATTGGAACTCACAACCAGGTTTCTGCAGCTTCTTGAATCCACAACCGCCTTTTGGCCGCCCTTTGAATTCACGACCACTTCTCGGTGGGCACTTGAATTCGCAACTACCTTTCAGCGGCCACTTGAATTCAGAGCCACCTTACGGCGGCCCTTTGAATTCAAATCCACCGTGTGGCGGCATCTTGATTTCACAACCAACTTTCGGGGGCCGCTTCAATCCGTGCCGCTTCGCATATCCCCACCAGCATTTTCAGAGAAGATGTTCAGGCGAATTGCCGTGATCATGGAAGTGTAGCAGCATGCACTGTAACCGAGAGTGCGACCGCCGTTGCCTTAGGAAGGGGAGGGAGTAAGACGTAGGGGGAAGCAGAGAAGGAGCGCGAGCTTCTTCACGGGCCGCGTAAACATTTAGTAGGCCTAACATTGAGTATTATTAGACGGTTCCTTTGAGTGAGTTTAAACATTTTGTGAAGAGTGGGGTTTTGGGGGGCGTTGAGGTTTAAGACATCCGCCAGGGGTACCCTGTCCGAGGGGCAACGACGGGAAAGTAGAGGAGGTACAACGGTGACCACGGCATCACAATTACGACGGAATTGAGCAGACATTTTCGCCAGTGATCACGTGGTAGACACAACGATTTTGGCCGAGCGTCGCCAATCAAGGCGAATGCAATGCGCGTTGGTCCTCATCCTCGCCCCCTCCCTCTTTCCCTCCTCACTCCCTTCCTCTCCGTGCACGTGACGATGGCGAGGGGCAACAATGGCCGTTGATGGCGGTACCACGGCGCACCCCGCGGGGCACACCACCACGGATGTGACGTCAGGAGAAAGGGGGGATTGACTTCGTGGCCCAGAGTGTGGAATCATGCATAGCCGCGGAATCGTGAAGCTCCAGCTCCAGGATGCGCCCACCGTTGGCCGCCCGCCCCACCACTCTGAAGCACGCGTTACGATGTGCCCGCAGGCCGCCCGACGAATGCGAAGTACCCTGCGCCTCTCACCCGCGACTGTGAAGCAAGCACAGTGATCTTCAAGCACGTGTCCATGCTGCGAAAGACATGCATCCCCCGGCCGCCCCACGACTGTGACACAGAGTGAAGAAGTACCCGACTCTCAGGCCGCCCCACGACTGCAAAGCACGCTTTACCCCTCATGGTGCAGGGCCGCCCCGCGACTGCGAAGCACACGTTGCGATGCGTCCGCAGGCCACCCGACGACTGTGAAGTACCCTGCGGCTCTCAGGTCGCGGGGTCGCCCCGTGACTGTGAAGCACGGTTGTTTTTTTAAGTACGGGCCCATGCTCTTAAATGCATGTCCTTGGTACGGCCGCACCTAGGGCAGGAGAACGACATGAGACCCTCCGCCGGTCAAATCGAAAAACATTCGAGGGTACCCTCCCCCAGGATGCACGAGAATATCCAACAAACACGAAGAACTTGAGGGCACCCTCCCCGAACTGACCTCGATCTTATACCTCGGTTCGACCGCACTGTGAAGCTCTCTCTACCCCTCATACATCAGGGTCGCAGATCGCCTGTGAAGCAGGTTGTGCTCCAACATAGCCAAGAGTTTACACAGACCACGGGGCAGCCCCGCGACTGCAGAGCACACCTTGCCCCTCATGGCGCAGAGCCGCTCCACGACTGCGAAGCACGGCGAAGGCGAGAAACAAGCACAAGGCCGAGGAGCATGAAGACGAGGAGAGCGACACGAGAAGGCGAAGGACGACAAGATCGACGAGGAAAGGGGGAGGAAGGACGAGGAGGAGGAAGACGAGGCTCTGAGGTGCAAGTGCGTGTAGCGCTTCTGCCTCTGAGGTTCAAGCTTCCGTGCGGGCTGCCCTCGTGTCTCCGAGGTTTGAGTGCGCCGCCCTCGTGCCTCTCCCGTGCCCTTTCCACTCGTACGACTCGTTGGCGGCAGCGCATGTCGTCTGGCACGCGAGTGACTAGTGTTGATTCAGCTTCCACTCTGGCGTCATCAGCGATTACGAACGTTGCTCTCGCTGCAGCGCTGGCCACATCCGTGCTTGCGAACGTCACTGTCGCCCCCGCGCCGGCCACATCCATGACGGCGAGTGTTGCTCTCGCCTCAGCGAAGGCCACATCCGTGTCTGCAGATGCTGCTCTCGACTCAGCGCTGGCCGCATCCACGATTACGAATGTTGCTCTCGTCTCAGCGCCGATCACATCCACGGTTGCGAATGTTGCTCTCGCCTCAGCGCTGGCCACATCCACGATTGCGAAAGTTGCTCTCCCCTCAGCGCCGCCCAGATTTTTCATTGGAACCGAAGAGGGACCAGCGATATGCGTAGTTGGCACATGCATTGAATGTTGTTGTGTCGCTCCGTTCTACTGCATCGTTTGCTACTTCGCGCGCGTGATACACTGGCGTCGCCGAGCCGTTAGTCACGTTAGGTTAGCTTTGGCGCAGTGTCGACAGTGTCAGGGTCAGGTTCGGTAAGGGATTTGCCAGGTTAAAGTGGAGGGGATTTGTACGGTTTAAATGCGTGTAGCGCAGGCGGCTCTAAGGTTGTAAGTGCGTGCAGCGCTCGTTTTTCTAAGGTTTGAAGTGCACGTAGCGCTAGTGTGTCTGAGGTTTGCGTGCGTGCAGCGGTGGTGCCCCTAAGATGTTACGTGCGAGTGGCGTCCGTCTCTCTGACTTTAAGAGACTGCGCTGCATGTGCCTCTGGAATTTAAATACGTGCATCGATTGTGTCCCTAAGGTTCGTGCTCCTCCTCCTCCTCCTCCTCCTCCTGTCTCCTCCTCCTCCTCCTCCTCCTCCTCCTCCTCCTCCTCCTCGTGCGCGTAGCGCTTGTGCCTCCAGGGTGCACGTGCGCCCTCCGTGGGCGCAGACGGCACCGGGAGCGCCCGCGCGCGAGCGGGCGCGCGCGCGTGCGGCGCACGGGCCGCCGGGCAGTGGCACAGTCCACGGGCCAGGGCCGCCGGGAAGTGCCCCGTGTTCCCGGCAAAGGGCCCAATAGTACGGGAACAAGAAGGGGCAGAAGCATGAAAGCTCGGAGGTCCGCGCGGATTCCTCGGATCGGCGTGGACCCCCCTCCCTAGCGCGCCAGGAGCGCGCCAGGGGCGGCGCCGGAGGCGCCGCTGGGGGCCCCAGCGCCGATCCGAGGAATCCGCGCGGACCTCCGAGTTTTTATGCTTATGCCCCTCTTTGTTCCCCATAAATATACCAGGGAGTGGATGCTATTCTGAAGAGGGGGTCGAGAGGCTTTACACGTCCCCCCCACTTCCCCCTGGCGAACTCCCAGGGAAAATCCGCTGGTTTCTTTTGAGCCCACCCACCCTGCGGCCGGCGCGCCTCGCGGGGAAACATCGCATCATGTTTCTTAACACCCACCCTCCCTCCGCGGGGCCAGAAAATTGCATTGGTCAGCGGCACTGCTCTCGACACCCGCCACACTCCGCGGGCCAGCAAAAATGTGGCATGCGATCTGCGCTGAGCATCTCATTTCCGCACCCACCCACTCGCCAATTGGCCCCCCTCCCCTGCGGCATCCGCCGTTCCGTCGGTGGGTCGTCGCCGCCGCCGCCGCCGCCGCCGCCGCCGTCGTCGTCGCCGCCGCCGCCGCCGTCGTCGTCGTCGTCGTCGTCGTCGTCGTCGTCGTCGTCGTCGACGTATGTCGCCGTCGTCGTCAACCGCCCCCAGGCCGCGGGCACCTTCGCGCTCGGGGTTCCCTGCCGAGCCGGCGCGGCCCGCTGCGGCAGCGGCGCGCGGCGCGGCTCGCGAGGCCCACCGGGGCGGCGCCAGCGCCTCCACATCTCGGCCCTCGGCAGCGACGAGCTCGAGGAGGAGGAGGAGGAGGACGACGACGACGACGAGGACGACGAGGAGAGTTGTTGAGGGAGGAGGAACATGGCCCCGGCATGTAGGGACGGAAAGTCGGAGGAGGAGGAGGAGGAGGAGGAGTTTCTCCCCCTGCGATGGGGGCCCGTCGGGCCAGCGCAAGGAGCGGCGCCACGCGCTGGCCTGCACATCGAGTGGGCACCGCGTCGCCGTCGCTGGCGCGCGGTCGCGCCCCGCCACGGGGCCCGCGGCACCGAGGAGCCCCAAGGAAGGCCCAGAGAGCCCAAACAGGCATTCCCCTGGGCGATAGGTTTTTTATTCTTTGTTTTGCCGATCGGCGCGGGCATTCGCCCCCCCCCCCCCATTGGAGTAGATTTTGGCTGTCCTGGGCGCCTGTTTCAAGCAGGTGGGCGACTCCCCATCGGAGCACTGTTCTCGACAGTCTCGCCAAGCAGAGGCCTGGAGCCGGACCGCTCCCCTTCCGCTCAACGTCGAGACGCCGAACGAGAAAGCGCTCCAGTAGATGGACAATATATTCGAACCCTCACACATTCGAGGGAGGTTCTGAATCACCCCCGCGCCCCCGACATCAATGTTGATCTCAGCAAAGGCGGTGCTTTGGGGTTCGAATATTTCTGTCCACTCACGCCCCCCCCGTCGCCACGCCATCAATATTAAATTCGGGGGTTCGGGGGGGCATCTTGGGCCACAGGGTTCGAATATAAGGTCCATGTACGGTCACCAGCCTGGGCACTCCGAAGACGGCCAGTGCCAGAAGAACGCCACCCCGCGCGGGGACGGACGGGCGAACCCAGCCGCCACCCGGGGCCGCCCACACCACTCACCGAGCGCGTTCCACTACTCGCCTTCGCACAGGACCGTTCACCAGGACAGCGGAGTGCTGTGATCTAGGGGAACAAAAAGTGACATAAACATAACAACTCGGAGGTCCGCGCGGATTTCTCGGATCGGCGCTGGACCCCCCTCCTTGGCGCGCGGAGCGCGCCAGGCGCGGCGCCGGAGGCGCCGCCGGGGGGCCCCAGCGCCGATCCGAGGAATCCGCGCGGACCTCCGAGTTGTTATGTTTATGCCATTTTTTGTTCCCCTAGGAATGCTGTGATCGCGCACGGCGCACGGGTGAGGCTCGGCGCCAAGACCTCGGGCGCCATCCGCACTGCCACCAAGGCCGCGAGAGCTCCGTCTCGGGGCGCTCGGTGATATCGCGCTGGGCATGCCGAGCTCCCGGCAGCGACCAGTCTGCTCAGCGAGCGCCTCGAGCACCTCGATCTCGTCGAAGGGCGGCTCGGCCTTCCCAGTCGGAGTGGCAAGCAGCGCATGCATGCCCTCCCCACTTGGTGCCGTCCGCGTCATGGAGAAGGCTCTCGTCGTCCTGGGAAGAGCACAGGTATGAATGCTTTTCGTGTTTGCTGGATGCTCTTGTGCATCCTGGGCGAGGGCACCCTCGAATGTTCTTCAGTTTGGCCAGCAGAGGGTCTCATGTTCTCATAGGATGTCTTTCTGTCCTCGGTCTGGCCGTACAGGGCCTTCTGGTCCAGCAGCTTGTCACTCGGACCCGAGAGCAAGCCACGGCTCTCAGCACTGTCCCGACTGAGCTCCTGCTGCGCTCCGCTCAGCTCCAGCCTCGTGCCAGTACAGTGAGGGCCCATGCCAAGAAACACCCTGCTTGCCTCTTGGGTTTCTTGCGTTTCGATGGTTTTGCTGTGGAAGGCGTGACTTTCCCATGCCAGGAATCAATGGACATCCTGGGGTCTCAGGATTGGGTTTCTTGTGGAAAGTTGTTTGTGGTCGGGCTCCTACTGCAAGGGAGTGCCATCAGCCTGCGAGAAGATGGGGTTGCCGGTGCCCTCCAGCTCTTCCGGCGTGCCCCGCACCGCATTCCCTTTCGTCGTCTTCGTCGTGATGGGGATGCCTGTGCTCTCGAGCTCGGTCTGCCTGTCCAGCCCCGCCTTCCGGATCATCGCCTGTTCGCCGCAGCCCGCGCAGAGCCGCTCTTTCGGCTTCCACGCGGAGCGGTGCAGCGGGAGCACGCCCTGCAGGGTCCTTGCCGCAGTTCTTGACGAGCTGCTCCGCTTGCCCGTCGACCTGCACCGCGCCGGGGTCCTGCCGCGCGACCTCCCGCGGCGCTCTCGGGAGCCGCGGGGTGGTCCTGCACCGAGTCCTCGTCGAGCTCCCGCGCCTCGGCCTGCTTGGCTCCCCGCGGCTCCCCGAGCTTCACGAGGGAGAGCGCATCCACATCCGGAGCCGCCGGCTCGAGAGGGATCTTCGCCTTTCGCCTCCTGCTCGGCCGGCCGGACGACATGGCAGGACAGGGGAAGGAGGCGTTGCGAAATCTGGTGCATACAGCTGGTTTCCGCCCCGCGCTGGGCCCATTCCATGACACATAGGCGCCAGGAAAGCCAGCTGCGTGAGCTGATTCTCTACCCTGCCCTTGGCTATCCTACCCTTTCGTTCCCCCCGATCCTTGAGCGCGCCGCCTTGAGCGCATGATTATTACCGTCATCGAGTTCATCCTCCCCGATGCTGGAGTTGAGCGACGGGAACGCGAAGGGACTAGGGCCAAGGTACACGAAGCGCCCCCAGCACGACGGAGTGTGCAGCACGACTCACCCACCTCCCGACGGCTGGCACCCGCCCGCGTGGTGATGAAGTCGGCCCTCAGCTCGTATAGCATCGGCTCCAGGTCGTCCAGCCTGTGCCCGATGCCGTCGGTGCCAGCCTCACCGTCGCTAGAGCTCACCAGGTCGAACCACTCGCCGCTCGGCCTGCTGGTCCCTCTTCTGGTCCACGAGCCGCTCATTGTCGTCCATTCCCTCCTTCACGCCTGCTTCAACCTTGGACCCCTGGCGCGTACCCTGCTGTGACTCAAGCAGTGGCGAAAAGTCCTGGCGTGCCTATAGGCCTACCAAACAATGTTCTAAGAGCCTTTTGTGGTCTCCACGAAATGCTCTTAGAACATTCTGGCTGGGACGGTCTTGCTTCAACACACATCGGGTTTATGTTCTGAGAACCTTGCTCTTGCTCCGAAAGCATTTTGGTTTGGGGTTCCGAGAACCTCTCGTGGCAGGCCTCTGGGAATGCCAGGACGCTCGGTCCCTGCTCCAGCGACCGCTGCTGGTCCCCCACGGCCGCCTCCAGGCTCTCGCTCGGGGGTGTCCTCGCCGAGCCGCCAGCGGGCGCCGGCGCGGCGCGCCGCGAGCAGCCGCAGGTGCGCTCCGGCAGCGCCGGCGCCACGGCAGCGGGGCGCACCGCCACGGGAGGGCGAAGCCGACCTGCATCTGGAAGGCCAAGAATTATGCAGGAGGGAAAGAAACACACAGACTCAATGAATCGTCGATTCCCAGGAAAATGTGGGAAAATATGGGAAGTGGGGGGGAAGACAAAAACCCAGAAAATATGGGGAATATTTTGATTTGTGTGTATTTATTTGTGTGTCCCAGTTCCCCTTCATTTATGTTGCTCCCATCGTGCTCGAGGAGCACATCCCAGAAATCATGGCGAGCACCCGGAAGAGTGTCGAAACCGTGTCGAAACAGTGTCTCCCCCGGGGCCCGACACGTGAGAACCCTCGAGTTGCGGTATTTCCGTGGTGCTCGAAATTCTTTTTGGTGGTCAAGGCTAAGGGTAGGGTGGAATATATAAACCAAGATCTGGGGCCGACGCCAAATGCCGCTCTCACGTCCTGGCCACAAGCATCTAGGGGCACATTGGGTGTCGTGACGTCCATAGACACTTTCGGGGTGGATACGTCTATGGACAATGCCGCCGTTGCGCTCGGCGCGGTGCAAGGTCGGAGAAAGGATCCGTCTATTGTGTTCTTGGGGCGATTTGGGCGGCCTCTTGGGTTGCCTGTGCGCGTGGGGAGACGGACAAGGCAAGAACGCCAAAATCTCCTCTAGAGTTTTTTTGTCATTTCTTGGAGGCGTTTGGGGGCGTTTTGGAGGCATCTTGGGCTGTCTTGAGGCAATCTTGGGCGCCTTGGAGCGATATTTCGGTCCTCGGGGCCCTCGGGGACCGTCCTGGGGGCCTCTTGGGGCCCTGTTGGCCCGTCTTGGAACCCTCTATCCCTCCACGGCGCGTTCGTGCCAGGGTCGACCGGGGCCCCGCGTGGGGGAGGAGGGGGGGGGGAGGGGGGGGGCGGGGAATTCCCGGTTGGGGCTCCCTGGGGGCGGGGGTATTGGGGGGGAACAATCTTACACGCCTGGAGACCCACAAGGGATCGGCGAATTTTGCGTACTGGAGCCGCAGAGGGGTTGGGGGGAGATTTGCCCCTTCCAGGAAGATGAGGACGAGAAGGGAGGAGGAGGAGGAGGAGGAGGAGGAGGAGAAGGAGGAGAAGGACCACCTGGGACCCCAGAGCCCCCCAGAAGGCAGCCCTCATTCCTCCCTCCTTCCTCCCTTCCCTCCCTCCTCCTGATCCTCTCTCCTCCCTTCCTCTTTCCCCCTTCGTCCTCGAGAATGCTGTGACGAATTCCCTGGGAGGGGCCTTCCAGAGGGAAAGCACAGAAAATCCTCCGAAAGTAACTACACCAAGGCTCCCGGCAGCCGCCGAAGACCCTCCGAAGCCGGCCGAAAGCGAGAGAGGCAGTCACCGAAAGCTTCGGAACATGTGTCGCGGATTTCCGATGAGCTTCCCAAGCCATCCTTAATTACCCAGACATCCGACGATATGGACATCCGATGAGCTCCCAAGCCATCCTTACCCAGACATCCGACGATCTGGACCTACGATAAGCTTCCCAAACGATCCTTACCCAGACATCCGACGACATGATGGTGGTCAATCCGCGGCACCCGAGCACGCAAGCCCTTTCCCTGGAGTAGTTTTCTGTACCGGAACGATGCTTGAGCCCCGACTCCGGATTCGCCGTTTTTTGGTCGGTTTTCTGATTTCACCGCTTGTCGGAAATGCACCCTAAGCAATGCGAAAAAGTAGGGTGGGCGGAATGTTTCGCCAAAGTATGGCGAAGGCAGCGACGGCAAAACAAGGCGGAAGTCGACATCCAGGGAGCTTGCAGAGTGGGCCGGAAATCGCCCAAGAGTGCGGCGGATCTGGAATCAGGGATTGCCCCAGGGCCCGACACAGTCAACCCGCACAGGAAGGACGAGCGACCCTCCAAGGTTACCCCCCTGCATCATTCCCCTTCGGCCCACACTTGGCCACCTTCGCTGGCTGCGCCCAACTCGCAAACTGTCGACATGATCTTCCAAGGCCCTTGCATTAAGTCGGGCGTGTCCCTCTACAGGGGGAATATTCGAAAATAGTCAAAGGGGACGATTTTTTTATTATGTTTGCACTATGTTGGGGTATTTTTGGAGTGTATTTATTTTCGTCCAAAATCCGCCTGTAGGGGGACACGCCTGTAGGGGCCCTGGAGGCCTCTGCCCCCCTCTGGCTCGGGACCCTGGCGACGGGGGTACACGTGCAGACGGGGGTCAGCCAGAGCGCCAGATCTTGCAGCATCCTGCAGAGCCAGGGCTACGATGTTCCAACCTATTTTAGATTTGACTACCAGAAAGAATTTCGAGCACCAAGACAGTGCCGAAACTGGAGGGTTTTCACATGTCGGGCCCTGGGAGGCGATACTCGTTCGACACTGTTTCGACACTTTTCCGGGTGCTCGAAATTATTTCTGGGATGTGTTCTTTGAGTACGATGGGAATAACATTAAGCCAGGGGCGCATTGACTCGGGCTAGGGCGCAGGACCCTGCAGGATCCTGCCAAGCCCGACTGCCACAACCCACCAAGCCACCCCAGCCCAAGCCGAAGGCCCCAGGCTGCCCTCGATGCCCAGTGGGGGGAGGGGGGCGGCGCGGCGCTGGAGAGGCACATCTGGAGCCCCGTGCCCCACCCCCCCCAAACCCAAAACGTGTTGGGTGTCTTCGGGTCGGCTTGGGGTGGCCTAGTAAGGTACAGTGCGTTTTTTGCATACATGCTCCGCGTGCGGACCATGTATTAAAAATAAAGGGATGTAGTATCAAAAACGATGATGAACTTATGCGTTGATGTATCAAAAAATCCTATAGTTTCAAATATCCTACGTATTACAAAGTGCCCTGCAGTCCTCCTCGCGCGGTCCTCCGACCGCGCGGGCGCTCCGCGGAGAGCGCCCCGCGGCGCGCCCCGCGGCGGCGCCCCTCCGCGCCGCTGCCCTGCTCTGCCCCGCCCCCCCCCCCTCCTAAGCGGGGCGCGGGGGTGGACAGAACCCCCAACAGTGACACGTCGATTAGCGAATTGTCCGTTCTCGGTTCTCGAGAGGGGGCGCCGTGGCCGTTGTTTTCCAGGCTTGCGCCCGCCAGGTTTGGGCCTCAGGCCGTCTTCACTAAACCACGTTTTGCTAAAGGGGGGTCTGTCCATCCCCGAGGGGCGCGGCCAGCGCAGCAGTTGTGTCGGAGGCCTAGAGTTCAGTCGGGCCTGTCCCTCTACGGGAGGAATCGTCACAAATAGTCAAAAAAACAGTCAGGGGGCGTTTTTCTACTATGTTTGATCATGTTGGGGTATTTGTTGACTCTTTTTTATTTTTCGTCAAAAAATCCGCCTGCAGGGGGACATGCCCGACCTAAGAGTAACACCAGCACCAGTATCGGCGGTGTGCCTCCACCGATGGAAGACGAGCCCGCCTCATGTGGGCTTCTTAGGCGGCCGAAATATAGCCACCAACAGCAAAATCTAGGATCATCCTCCCTCGGTGGAGGCAACCCCCTGTGCTAGTGTTGGTGCGCCTGTCCAAGCCTCCTACAGTCCTCTCCGTCACGCGCTCGCGGTAGCGCCGGTGGGAGTGGCGGCCGAAGCCCCCGGTCTCCAGGCCCTGGCGGGCTCATCGGGCGCGGAGGGGGCAAACGTTTGAAGCGGCACGGTTTCTTCCATCCAGGCGCCTGCATGCGAACGAAGGCTTCCTTGGGGCCCCGGAGGCCAACTGCCCCCCCCCTCCGTCGGGTGTTGCTAGAAGTACCCCTGGCCCAAGGTACCCCCAGGATTCTCGGGACGACCCAGACGGCCTCCAGGGCACCCCACCCCTCACGAGGCCCCGAGGGCCCCAGGGGCTCAAAAACAGTGCGAAAAGCTAGGGGCACCTTGGGCCAGGGGTACTTCTAGCAACACCCGACTCCGGTGCCAACGCCCAGAAGCCCTGCCCCCCGCGCCGCCTAACCGCGCGCCGCCTAGGCGGCACGGCGCCGGGCCCCGGCGGGCCTCGGAGGAGGCGGGCGGCGGCCTTCTTGTGACCAGGCCGGCGGCATCCCTGCGGGAGGGGGAGGGGGAGCAGCTCGGGGGGGAGAAGAGGGAGGAGGAGGAGGAGGAGAAGGAGGAGGAGGAGGAGGAGGAGGAGGAGGAGGAGGACAGGAGGAGGAGGAGGAGGGAGGAGGAGGAGGAGGAGGAGGAAGAAGGAGAACGGGGAGGAGGAGGAAGAGGAGGACGGGGAGGAGAAGTAGGACGGGGAGGAGCTCGGGCGGGAGGATGAGGAGGCGGAGGAGGAGGAGGAGGGAAGAGGAGAGGGAGGAGGAGCGACGGAAGGCGGAGGCGTTTGGATGCTTCAGGATTTGTTGACGGCTTCAGGGGGGCAAGAGTGTCATGCGCCTCCTCCTCTTTGCAGGGTCATCCTCATCAGCATCAGCATCATCAGCATCATCATCAGAATCCTCTCTTCCTTGTGCTTCCGTCGTCGCCCATATAGTACACTCACATCCCTCCCTCTACCCAGTCCTCCTAATCATCATTATATCATCCGCATTATTTCTCATTATATTCATTACTTACTCACGCCTCACCTTCTCTATATCCTTATTATGTGCCTCCCTCCACTCCCTCCTCGTACTCATCATCATCGCCCTCTTCTTACTCACGCCTCCAGTTCCTGGTCCTTCTTCCTCTCGATGCTCTCGCAGCAGCCTCTGCTGCCCCCGATTCGAGCGCGCCCGCGCCGCCCGCCGCCGCCGGCCGGCCCGCGCACACCCGGGGCCCCCCGGCACCACCGGGGAACGTTGTCCGAAGGGGAGCGGGGGTTGTCTGGCTGTCTTTAGGGCGGGTTTTAGTTGAGTGAGTTGAGTGTTTTGTGTTTTGATGCTGATGACGATGGTGATGATGGTGATTATCCTATCGGGCGTGCAGTAGTGGTGGGGTTTGACCCAAACGGGGGGTGCAGAAGAGGCCCTCAAGGGGCCCTTCGGAGCCCCTTCTGGAGCCAGCGGGTGCCCAAAAGGGGCCTACAGGGCCCCTTTGGGGCCCTCCTCTTCGCCCCCCGTGTGGGTCAAACCCCCCGCTACCGCCCGCCCGAGCGATGCGGGGCCTTGAAACGAATCGTGCTCCAAGAGTGCTGCTGGGCCGGGTGGGTGGCGCCTGGACCACACGGGGATCCGCCACTTCAGCGCCACCAACCGGCCGATAGCTCCCGAAGCTGAACAGGTCGAGAACGCTCCCCCCCCCCCCACCGGGGCCTCGGCGAAGAACGAGCCGCGGAGCTCGCCTCCTGCGACCCAGGGGGGCAGGGGGGGAGGGAGGATGGAGGCCACCATCCGTCCTATCATCAGCCGAGGAAAGTCGGAGAGGTATGGAGACTGGCCACGCCACTCAGTTGATCAAGTAGGAGGTGCCGGGGACGGCACACCTTGCGCGTAGCGTAGTACACGGCGTACCTTGTCCGTAGCGCTGAAGATGTCGTGCGTTCTTCCAGCTATATTTTTGATTTTGACTTTCGTCGAACCTGCGTTTGATTCGCCCATGTCGTCCAGCCCCACCATCTGAACCGAAAAAGTCGGTTTCTGCTGAGACGTCCTCGCGATTCGCTCTTGAACTGGCCACGGCTTGCAGGCGACGTTGGCGGCGTGTTGCCCGCGCCGAGGCGAGAGCGCTGTTTGGACGGACTTTCGGCCATTGTACGGAAGTTCGGCCCGCATAGTAGCCTTTGTCAGTATTGAAGATATGTTGAGCTTTAGTAGGTAGTAGTTCTTAGCGATCATCTTCGTTGGCCTCTCCACGCGAACACTTATGATATCCGCAGTGGATATGCAGCGTGCGCGTGCTGTGGTTCCCTGATGGGGATGGCAGGCCGTAGTTGTTGACACAGTCCTGCGTAATCGGGTTGCCTGCGGGGTCCAGCGCGTCCGGATAGTACTTGCTGCCTCCTATGATCGTGGGCTGGTAATTCGTAGGGTTTCGTATTGTTGTCCAATGCCGTCTCGTCGAAGTTGTAGTTCACGTAGTAGATCTTCATGTGCCCGTATTCGTATGGTTCGATATCGCACCGTTGCCCGCATAGCTTGGCAACGATTGCGTTTTAAGCTGTCCATTCGCAGAGGTACCGTTGTCCATCTCGAGGGTGACGTAGTCGTCGTTCTCAGGGTCTCAAGGCAGGTATTAGCTGAACCTTACAACGGAGTCGTACGTTTGGCTCTCCATCAGGACGTAATTTCTGGTAGCATGCCAGTCATCATCCCGAAGCGGCTGTGGTGGTGATTGTCCATGATGTGGTCCTTTAACTCGGTCATCAATGATAACTTCACCTGTATATTCCGAGCATTTGGCCTTGTAGATGTTTTCCATTTGTGATGCAAGTCCTTGAAGTAGTGGCACAGGGCCGCTTTGATGACGCGGATCGTAAAGTATTGTCCCCCATCTTCGCCAATAGCATTTTTCCCCAAACAGCTTGCTGAACGGGGTGCTGTTCTGGTAGAAACTAACTCCGGCTGAGGGAAGTCGGAGCAGAGACATCCTCACAAAAAAATTACGGTTTTGGCCGTTTCGCTTTAGACATCCTCACAATTCTCGTTTCTGAGTTGGCCGGGATTGGCCGTTTCGCCTGAGACATCCTCGAAAAGTTGCGCTCCAGGACGCCGCGCGAGAGGTGGTCAGGGCCGTTTCGCCTGAGACATCCTCAAAAAGTTGCGCTCCGCGACGCCGCGCGAGAGGTGGTCCGGGCCGTTTCGCTTGAGACATCCTCGAAAAGTTGCGCTCCGAGGTGCCGTGCGAGAGGTGGTCCGGGCCGTTTCGCTTGAGACATCCTCGAAAAGTTACGCTCCGGGACGCCGCGCGAGAGGTGGTCCGGGCCGTTTCGCTTGAGACATCCTCGAACAGTTGCGCTCCGGGACGCCGCGCGAGAGGTGGTCCGGGCCGTTTCGCTTGAGACATCCTCGAAACTCTGAGCCACGAGGTGCCGTGCGAGAGGTGGTCTGGGCCGTTTCGCCCGAGACATCCTTGCAACTCTAAGCTCTGCGATGCCTTGCGCGAGGTGGTCCGGCCCATTTCGCCTGAGACATCCTCGAAAATCTGACTTCGGAGATGCCGCGCGAGAGGTGGTCCGGCCCGTTTCGCCTTAGACATCCTCGAACTTCTGAGCTTTGAGATGCCCTGCGCGAGGTGGTCCGGCCCGTCTCGCCTGAGACATCCTTGCAATTCTGAGCTCTGAGATGCCGTGCGCAAGGTGGTCCGGCTGGTGCCTCAAGAGGGGCCCAAGCGGCCACAGGTTAGATATCCCCCTTGGGAGCCCCAAGAGCCTTCAGGAAACCTCAGGTGGAGTTCAGGAGGCCACAGGAGGCCCAGGAGGAAGCTCCAGGAGGTCCGCAGGAGGCCCCAGGAGGCACCAGGAGGCCGCAGGACGCCCAGGACAGGCCCCAGAGGTCCCAGGAGGCACCAGGAGGCCGCAGGATTCGATTCCCAGGAGGCTCCCAGGAGGCCCCAGGAGGCTGCCTATCAGAACGTGCCAAGTTAATACACATCCGGTGTCGATTCGTTGATTTTTCCTGCTCTTGTGCCCCCCGCTCCATTTGGAGAGGCCCAAATGGCCACAGGTTAGATATCGCGGCTGGGAGCCCCAAGAGGCTTCAGGAAGCCCCAGGTGGGGTCCAGGAGGCCACAGGAGGCCCAGGAGGAAGCCCCAGGAGGTCACCAGGAGGTCCCAGGAGGCCCCAGGAGGCCCCCGCAACTCGGAGCTCTGAGACGCCGCGCTCGAGGTGGTCTGGCCCGTTTCGCCTGAGACTTCCTCGCACCATGTTTCGCCAGAGACATCGTCGCAACTCTGGGGTCCGAGATGCCGCGCGCGAGGTGGTCCAGCCCGTTACGCTGGACATCCTCGCAACTCTAGGCTCCGAGATGCCGGTCGGGATGAAGAGGCGGAGGAGGAGGAGGAGGAGGAGGAGGAGGAGGAGGAGGAGGAGGAGATGGAAGGGAGAAGGAGGAGGCGGATGATGTGCATGAGGGAGCAGGCAGGAGGAGGGGGAGGCCCCAGAGAGCTCCAGGAGGCCACAGGACGCCCAGGACAGGCCCCAGGGGTCCCCAGGAGATTCCTAGGAGGCTCCCAGGAGGCCCCAGGAGGCCCTCTATCCGAACGTGTCAAGTTGATACACATCCGGTGTCGATTCGTTGATTCTTCCAGCTCTTGTGCCCCCCCCTCCATTTGGAGAGGCCCAAACGGCCACAGGTTTGATATCCACCCTGGGAGCCCCAAGAGGCGTCAGGAAACCCCAGGTGGAGTTCAGGAGGCCACAGGAGACCCAGGAGGAAGCCCCAGGAGGTCCCCAGGAGGCCCCAGGAGGCACCAGGAGGCCCCCGCAACTCGGAGCTCTGAGACGCCGCGCTCGAGGTGGTCCGGCCCGTTTCGCCTGAGACTTCCTCGCAGCACGTTTGCCCGAGAAATCGTCGCAACTCTGGGGTCCGAGATGCCGCGCGCGAGGTGATCCAGCCCGTTACGCTGGAGACATCCTCGCAACTCTAGGCTCCGAAATGCCGTTCGGGATGAAGAGGAGGTCGAGGAGGAGGAGGAGGAGGAGAAGGAGAAGGAGATGGAAGGGAGAAGGAGGAGGCGGATGATGTGCATAAGGGAGCAGGCAGGAGGAGCGGGAGGAGGAGGAGGAGGAGGAGGAGGAGGAGGAGGAGGAGGGAGAAGGAAAGAAGTTGCAGGAGAGGACCTAACGGGAAGCGAGTGCGATGTGGACTTGTCAAAACGTGTGCGAAAGATTGTCCGGCCCGTTTCGTTTGAGACATCCTTCCAATACTGAGCTCCAAGATGTCGCTCGCGAGGTGGTCCGGCCCGTTTCGATTGAGCCATCCTCGCAATGCGAGGCTGGAAGATGTTGCGCGCGAGATGGTCTGGCCCATTCTGCCTGAGACGTTTCGTAGCACAGGAGCTCCAATCACAACCTCTCTCATTCCTTCTCCCGCCTCCCTCTTCCCACTTCCCGCCTGGTTCCTCTTCCCTCCTCCCTCCTCCCGCCTCTCGCCTCCCGCTGCTGCGCCTC